ACAATACAGTTAAAAGCTGCAAAATAATTATTAGAAGGCTGGAGATGTTCCTTATAGGGGGATCTGAGAACTATAATAAATTATGTAGTACTCAAGTCATATTTCAATTGCCTTGAGCACACTGAAAGAAGAACTTACCATGTCCACAATGACTACTCTTGTAGAGAAAGAGAAATAAGAGCCAAGAAACTGAATACAAACTGTAAGTAAAATATGTTAGAGACTAAATATGGGTATAAACTAAGAGGAGGAAGTGGATTCTCCATCTCCAGAGAGATAGAAACAAAGTAGGATGCTTGCTTGTATTATAACTTTTAATATAGATGTAAATCAATTCAATTGAGCAGCCTGAGATATAAAGGGACTCATGCTGAAAAATAACATGCTTCCCCCTCCTCGATGCAGGCATCTATGAAACAAACCTAAAATTAATTCAATGCAACAGAATTCAGCAACCATTTATCAAGGTTCAGATGGTAATCAAAGCTGTTCAAAGTTCAGACTAAAAATATTCTTCTTGTTGTCTAAAATAATGCCATTTTACAAATTTCCAAACAACAAAAAAAATACTATAATGCAAATATGGCTCAAACGCAAAAGAAAATCTAATATTAACAATTAAACAAAGCTTGTTTAAAACAAGAATCCAATGACCTTCACTTTGAAGAAAAACTTATTTCAAAAGGGTCCAAAAGTATTTTCTTACAAAACACAATTTTTAAAACTTCAGTTCCTTAGAGGATAGTTCTGCTAACAGCAATAAATACGCTTTGCTGAGAAAACAGCAATATTATTGTTTTATTAAATTATACTTAAAGCCAATTTTAAATTATAAGACCACTAATAGATTTTTTTTTTCCTCCAGATATGTTAAAACTGCATAACTACTAGAGAAGAGCATCACTGGTCATTTGTACTGTTTATGTAACTGCTGTCATTGATACTGACACATAAGGCAGCATTCCAAAGCCACATACAGGAATCGCAGCATCTTAATTACCTGAGAAGTGATAAGGATGAAGTATTTTTGCCTTTCAATACAGCGACATTTAGTTATACTACATGAAAAGGTAACATTTAACAAAGCAATTTTTTTTTTTTTAAATCTGTACTTAAAGATTTTTTTCCCCAAGATTCTTTATTCTTTCTGGCTAATTAAAAATAGTGTTGTAGAGATGGATTATATGCTTACTGTTTATAGAATACACATCACTAGTAGAAGACAACAATAAAGTTGATAACTGCTATAACATACAAGGTAACAGCTCAGAAGTCCCTGAAATCAATTCACACCTTGACATCCTACTTAAACTGTGGAGCGGCGGAATTCTGATTACCATCTTCTTTTTCCTTGTTTGCACTACCTGTCTGAATGATTGCTAATTACCTGTTTGCCTGCTGTACTCTCTCTAACTTGATGTGGCAACCACTGGAAGTATCCTACGCAAAATATTCAGAAGAGACAGAAACCAGAAAATAGGCATTTTCTTTGCTAAAAATTACATACCAGACCAAATATATCAGCCTTCTTACTCTAGCGCTATGACGATTATTACTTAGATCTTGCTATAGGTTCTAAAACTTTTTCCTCTGATGTTGGCTTTGTAACTTATTAGGCAATGAAGCGATTGCATTCACTATATCACATCTGGCTTAGAGGGACCTTACTAACAAGCATATGTTTTCTAGCAAAATAAAGAGGACACTAAACAACTCATATAAGTTATCATTTAACATATTAGTTTTCAGGAGGAATACTTTATACTTAAGTGTAAGAAAGTAAAATTCAACTGTTCTTCGAAGATGAAGTGTTATGAGAATTTCAAGAATTTATGGCCCTCTCAACAAGAGCACCTTATGATTCCACAAGATTCTTCTAAATAATTGTGAGTTACAGTGTGGTCTTTGGCTTTCCCTCACATTAAAATATTTTAGGACTACGTTTTCTTTCTTGAAGACACAGGAATTTTTTTTGTCCATTTTTGGAAGCGAAAAAGACAGCATAGCGCTATCCTTGCATAAGCTCTTGAAAATTCTGCTGTGAAAATTCTTCACAAACCTGAAGAAAACCCAAGATATAGCCTGCATTTTACTATTTGCAGGCTGTAAATAAGTTTTATACTAAAAAATAGAAACACAAAACTTACAAAGAAAACCTCTTGTACTCCTATTAATTAGATTTCACAACAATAAACTTTTCCACAATTGTGTTGTGGTAAACATGCAAATCATCATAGTTATCTCTAAGAAACAAATGCTTTACACAACCAAACAACTATCCAACTAATTAAAAGATACAATGCCAATTTAATTTTCTAAAAAACACTATTTTACTCCCAGCAGATACAAATTCAACAACTCCTTCAGTACACTTCTTTTCTGCAGTGCAGTTACAACACAAATGTCTTCACAGAAGCAGTTCACTCCATTTTCCTACATCACACTTTTCTCTAAAAGCAGAGAAGGCACCCTATGGCCCACTCTACTCTATACTGAATGCTTCAGGGTGCTTGTGAGCGAACTGCTACAATATTACAAAATAGCAGTGCAGAAAGCCAAGTGATGAAATATCGCAGAATAACTGTCCCCACTCAGAATAAACTGCACAGGCATGTTCAGACGGCATTTCAGCAAAGAGAATGAACACGACTGCTCTTACAGAAAACTTACAGAAAGCTAATAACGCCTCACTGAGGGCATGATCAGGTACCAAAGAATTGTTTTCCTGCACACATCAAATGGATTTAGTTAAGACTGGCCTTTCTACATGGAAATCTACGTCACAATGTCTCAGGTGTTGCTTTTTGTTTTAAAGAACATCAAGCTATTTCTATTCTTATGTGTATCAAAAAGATTACTACCCTCTTTCTAACCTGAACTCTCAACTCTAAAGCATTAACTGCAAGCTTTCTGCTCTCATTCCACTGATTTATTGAAATCAGCTGTAAGACATTTCTTACACAGCTGGGGAAAAAATGCAGAAAGTGAAGATTTCTGGCAAAACAGAACACTTACGGAAGTCACACATTTCCTATGTATTTTTCCAGTTCTTACTTTATAGTAGTGTGAACAAAAAAATGAAATCTGACATTTTAAAAATTATTTCCCTTCATGTTTTCATCTGATGACTTTTCATTTTGTTTCTGATCAGGATCCATTTGTTTGAAGTGTCTGCATTAAAAAACAAAGAAGTTTTAACATGCATATTGGAAAAAGGAGCACTGCTTCAGAGTACATTCAATTCAGCAGAGTAAATAAAAACGTATATAAACATTGCTTTAAAGTGTGCAATAAAGCAGTGAAAGTGAAAGAAGCAATAAGACACTAATGTATATTCAGGAGTTATAGTTGGTTTTTTCCTCCAGTACATTAACTTAACACCCCCCCCACACACACACACACCTGCTGAAATCTGTAATACTCTAGTCTTAGAAATGTTAAAAGTTTACTGTCTTGACAAACAGAAATAAAGCTGTTCTGTTTCTTTAATACCAGCACAATAATTTCAGACTAAATTGCAGCTCTGTAATCAATAAGCAGGCTTATCGATTATGTGGTACAGAACTTCTCTGAAATTTAACACTTCTGTCTCATGAGGAAGCGAAGGAATGCTGTTATCATTTCGCAGCATTTGTAGATTAATACACTATAAGTCATCAACTACTTAAGTTTCTTTAAATGACAAACGCTTGGAGGAGTTTCAGAAACAACTTAAAGGCCAGCCTGAAAATTAAAGCAAATACCGCAGACTGCACATCAAAACAAGTGATCCAGCCCTGGCTCACCGATTACCGCTCCTTCATCCCCGCCATCTGCCCTCCATTCTACAAAGAGGAGGGCATGCCCTCTCATCTCTCCACCTTCTGAACAGCAAGGCGCGAACAGGATACTGCTGCCAGGCAGAGGCAGCTGGCGCGGCGCACGACAGCAATCTGCAGACAGGCCGAGTCAACAAAAAGCAAAGAAAGCACAGCGAGAAAGAGTGAGAGAGGCCCCGAGGGCAGGAGCCGGCATCTCCTCCCAGAGGAAAGGCGTGGACGGGGATGTAGCGCATCTCTCGACGTAAGACGAGGCCCGCATATCCTTCCCGACCCGCCTCCTCCGGGCGTTTCTCCCTCACAGACTCCTTCAAGCCTCCACAGCTCCGCTGAGCTTCCGGCAACGGCTCGCTCCGCGGCTCC